AATCACCCACAGAGGGATGAAGTGAGTTCGCTGAGGAGGGATGTGGCCCAAGCACCTTTTTAATACTCTGCTGCTCAACTGTTAGCCCTTCACTTTTGGGTGTTTCTGTACCTACAGGGGATTCTTGAAGAGCCCCTAGGCTATTACTTAGCATGATGTCTTTTCACCCCTTCCTGGGAAGGAGGATCTGAATTGACCTCACTGATCTCTGAGTTTTTTTCTCTCAGGGCCTTGGGCCCCATTTGTATTAACTCAGCCCTCCTCTGTCAGAATCTAGGGAAGACAGTCACCATCTCCTGTACCCAGAGTCATCACAATATTGGGAGCTAGTATGTGCACTAGTACCAACACAGCAGCTAGGCAGTGCTCTCAGCACTGTGATATATGTTGATGATGACAGACACTCTGGGTTTTCTGATCAGTTCTCAGGGTTCCATTGATGGATTTTCTACCACAGCCTCTCTGACTCTGATCTGCAGATTGAGGATGAGTCTGAATACAATTGTCAGTCTTTTGATGGCAGCTACAATCAGAGAGTGTTCCAGACACATGGGGAAGTGAGACAGAAACTCCTCAGTGTCTTCAGCTTCAGTGTCTTCTTTCACATTTTGCTGACTTATTTTCTCATGTATTCAAAATCATTCCATGGAAGGCTTGCAGTTTAAAACAGGGATTCTGAGCCACAACTCTATTGATTTTTTTGTTGTTGTTGAGAACTGTCCTGCATATGGTAAAATTTTCAGTGCTCTATAACAGCTCAATTTTATTAACTTCTTTTCTTATTTGTGACAACAAAATAGTTTCAAATATTGCCAAATATTCCCTTCCAGGAGGCAAAAGCAGCATTGGTTGAGACCACTCAGTTGAAGAGCTTGTTCTCAGCTATATTAAACTGGTGGACTTGAGTCTGTTCATGCCATTCAACTGGTGAAATGGTTTTTTTGTTTTTTTTAATCTCTTGAGTTTTTGGTCCCTATCTGTGGAGCAAAATAATAGCACAGAATTCAAATGAATATTTTTATAACCAAATAGTGTTCTAGGTAACATGAGAATAGATTCTATGTTAACTAATGGTAGAGAACCCCCCCCCAAGGAAGGTGTATGATGTGGTATTTATCCAAGACTAGATGTTCTTATAATATTTCAAATAATTGTACAATGAACATGGAAATGGATTGGAACCATTCATCCAAGTGACGTAAAAGCTATGAAGAATGTGCTACCACATGGATGAACTCGACAAATTATGCTGGGAGTAAACAAACACAAAGGAGCACACATTGTATGATTGCTTTGATAGGCAATATCTAAAATGTTTAAACTTTTAGAGGAAGAAGAGAGAAATTATACTCAAAATCTGTCACAGCGAGGGTGAGAGGAATGACATTGAGAATAGGAAACTATTTGAAAAAAATGATAAAAATTTATGGTTTCTAAATTCCTTGGTGGAATGAAGTCAACTAGGTGTAGCTGAGGTAAAAGTCACTCTTTTAATTTATTTTTTGAAATAAACTGGAGAGAATAAGGTGTTTGGTGCTGATTTTATGAAATCACCTGTAGATTGTAATGATAGTCTCTTGGAGCATCAGTATCTGACGAACTTAACTGCACACCAAGTGAATACCTGCAAAATCTTCAGGTAAGTCAGAAAGCCTATATTCTGGTGGCAAAAGAGGAAATGAGGCCAGTAGGGGTTACTTTGAGCCTTACACAAAGGTTGGATCTGGCCCTGCTAGCTGGACAGACAGACCCTCAGAAAGATGAAAAATAGCTGAGGATACAATGAGTACCCTTCCTCTTGTTTTGAGGGGATCATATATGCTAGGAACTCCCAGGACTCAAGGTCATCAAGGATCAGTTTCATCCATTCTCAAAGATCTGGTTTAGGTAAGATCCTCATCATTTTCTTCATCAAGGATGTAAAAATGGGGATTCATCAATATCTATACATCAACAAAGATTCTCTGATATAAATTCATGGGTATAAATTCTTCAATATAGATTCATCAGTATATATTCATTGATATAAATTTATCTATAAAAAGATTGAACAACAAAGATTCAATGATATCAATTCATCAATATGAATTAATGAATATTGATTCATAGGTATATAGATTCATCAATATGGATTCATTGATATATTAATTCATTTATATAAATTCATTGATATATAGATTCATCAGTAGAGATCCATTGATATCAATTCATCAATTCATAGATCGATCCATATTGGTACATAAATATATAGAGTCATTGACATACATTCTCTGATACAGATACATGGATATAGACCCATCAATATAATTTCAATATATAGATTAATTTATATTGATTCATAGTTATGGGTCTGTTGATATATAGATTCATTGATATTAGATTCATCAGTAAAGATTTACTGATAGAGGGGCTGGAGTTGTGGTAGAATGCTTGCCTTATATATGTGAGACACTGGATTCAATTCTCAGCACCACATATAAATAAGTGAATAAAATAATGGTGAATAAGTGAATAAAATAAGTGAATAAAACAACTTAAAAATATTTTCTGATATAGATTCATGGATATTTGATACAGATTCATCAAGATACAGAGTCTTTGATATAGATTCATTGATATATAAGTTAATTAATAAATACATTAATCAATACAGATATATCAATATATATAGATTTATCAACATATATTCATTGATATTGATTCATCATTAAAGATTCATTAATATAGACTCATGAATATTGATTGATCAATATATACTCATCAATATGGATTCATTGATATATAGATTAATCATGGATTGATTGATATGGATTCTTCAGTATAGATTCATTGATAATGACACATCAATATACTGACTCATTGATATACATTCTATGATATAGATTGATAGATATAGATACACTTATATAAATTCATAATCAATTTATCAATCTTAATTAATCAATATCAATTCATCAACAAAGATTCATCAGTATACAAATTCATCAACAACGATTCATCAATATACAAATTCATCAATATATATTCATCTACATATAGATTACTTGATATATATTTATCAATATATAGATTTCTCAATATATATCCATCGATATAGACTTATCAATATTTGTTCTTTAATACAGAATCATCAAAATCAATTTATTTATACCTATACATTGATATCAATTTAGCAATGTATAGATTGACAAATATAGAATAATCAATATAGATTTATTGATCTTTTCATCTATTTTGATACATCAATATTGATTCAATAATATATTGATTTGTCAATATAAATCACTCATATAGATACATCAATATTTATTCTTTCATATAGTTTCATTGATACCAACTTATCTATATCTATACATCATTATAGGTTCATTGATATGTAGATCCATAGATATGGATTCATCAATGTATAAATTCATCAGTATAGATCAATTGATGTCAATTCATCAATATAGATTTATCAATTTATAGATTGATCCATATAAATACATTGATGTATAGATTCATTTATACAGATTCACTGATATAGATTCATGGATAAAGATCCATTGTTATATATCCAACCACATATAGAATCATTGATACCAATTTACTGATAGTAAATACATTGATTAAGCTTCACTGATATAGATTCATGGGTATAGATTCATTGATATTGTTTCATCAATATGTAGTATTTGATATAATTTCATCAATATGTAGATTTTTGTTATTGATTCATTTGTATGGATTCATCAATATATAGATTCATCAGTATCAATTCATTATAACAGGATCATCAGTATATAGATTCATTGATACAGATTCATAGATTATATAGATTCATTTATGGATTGATTCACTGACATAGATTCAACTATATCAATTCATCAATATAGATTCATCCATATATAAATTCTCTGATATTCATTCATCAACATATTAATCTGTAAAGGTCGGGTGAGCATCGGAGGTAGAGACCACCAAGAGACTGTCTCATGCAACAGCAAAGGGTTTATTGGGGGACCAGCAAGCTGGGGCTCAGAGCTCACTTGAATAGAGCAGAGAGCCGGGGGAACAGCTTAAGCAGAGCTTATATACTTTCCTCGGAGAGGGCAGGGACTTCACATACAGCATAGCCAATCATTGCACGGTTTCTGGGAGGGGTTGTTTTCATAGAGCAACCAGATGATCAGGGGAGATTTCAACATACATTTAGTGGGCATTTCCGGGAGTTGTTTTCAACTTCTACATGAGTTTCAGGTTCCAGGAAAACAGAACTTAATTCTTACATTCTTAACCTTTTCAAATCAATATAGATTTATTGATTTAGATTCATATATATTGATTCATTGATATATATCCATCAACATTGATTCATAAGTATTGATCCATTCATAGTAATTCTTCGATAAAATTCCTCAATACATAGATTCATTGATATCAATATACACATTTATCAATGTAGATTTATCAATAGTTTCATGGTTATAAATCCATCAGAATAGATTCATTGATATCAATTCACCAATATACATTTTTCAATATAAGTACTTTAATATATATTATTTATTAAAGATTCATCAATATTGATTCACCTATATTTGCACATCATTATCGAGTCAACAATATGGATCTATTGATGTATAGATTCATCAAAATCTAGATTCAAAGTAAATATTCAGTACTATAAATTCATGGATATAGATAAATTGATATGAATCCATCGATATAAATTCATTCATATGGATTCATTGAAAATATATAAGCTGGGGGATGTATCTCAGTGGTTCAGCACCTCTGTCTACAATCTCCAGGGCAGGCAGGGCATTTTGGTGGAAGAAGGGGCCCTTCCTGGCAGGAAGACATCTCAGGAGCCGCCTTCACTGAAGCCAGCAATAGTGAGTCGCCACGGGGCGAGGCCTGAGAATTGGCTGCAGCCTCTGTGTACACCTTTGCCCTGCTGCAGCGGAGCGCGTGCAAACAAGCTCCACAACGGACTTGCCCACGCGCTCCACTTGTGGCTTTACCCAGCTGCCGTTACTCTAGAGCGCGCGCCTGTGAACTGGAAGAGCGTCCTTCTCAGCAACTGTGGACCACTGGGGCGTTGGCCTCCAGGAGGAAAAGGTGAGTGCCTTCAGGTCCCCTCACATGCCGCCCTGGGCCACCGGGACCTGGCCTCACAGGGCACCAAGACGCTTCACCCGCACTTGAGGCAACAGCCCAGGTTGAGTTTCCTAGGTCTTTGGAGGCTTTTCCTGGCCCTAGGCCCCTTGCTCTTCTGCCAGGCCTGGGTAGTGGGGTGAAGTTCTCCCTTGGAGTCAAGTGCCCTGCCCTAGGAGGGAGACCCAGTCTAGCCTGTTGCACAAGTTTTAAAACAATGAACTTCAAGTTTTTGTTATATGAATTTTAGACAACTCAGGCCTATCTTCATTCTTTAAAGCAGGAAAACGGTGCTTGAGTTTGTGTTCTCCTTCTTGTCTGAGATAGTTCTTTGTAGCAGATAGTCTACATGTAGTTTTGAAAATGTGAAGTATAATATACACAGTAATTTGTGGATATTTTAAGTGTGCATTCTGATGAACTTTAGGTATCCACAGTCACATGTAGCTTCATGACGGTGTTTACTTACACAAGCTAAGAAGGTGACAGTATTACCAGGCAATAAAATCTTGGGGGAACCACAGTTTTACATGTGGTCTGTCATCAAAACATCCTTATGTGGCATGTGACTGTATGTTCACTTGGTGACTGCCACTCAGATCAAGATAGAATCAACACATACTATCATCACTTAAATATTTGGGATTTTGATTAGAAATTCATTGTAACTTTTATTTATTTTTATGAGGTGCTGAGGATCAAATTCAGCACCTCACATGTGCTAGGCAAGTGCTCTACTGCTGAGCCAGAACCCGAGCCCCCAAATAGCTACTCTTTAATATATTTTCACATAGTTAACTTTTCTGCAGTGTTCACTCTTTGTTTATGGTTCAATCCAGGTCATCTTCCTTTGTATTGAAAACAGCCTTTGAGGCTTTTGTATTTCATGGTCCCATATCAATGAATTCTCTCAGTTTTTGATAGTTTGTTTCTATCATTTAGATTGTTTTCACTGGGAATCAAATTCAAGTTTGAAAGTTTGTGTGTGTGTGTGTGTGTGTGTGTGTGTGTGTGTGTTTCTGTACTGTAAGTGTGTCCTCCAATTATCCTCTGCTTTCTCTGATTTCTCTGCTGAAGTCAGGGCTCACTCACATTGTTATCTCAAGTTTTCTCCACTACTTCTGGCCACTTTTACATTTTCCTCTTTATCTTTGGTTTTCAGCAATTTGCCTCTTATGGACTTTGTTGTGTGTTGCTGAGGGTTCATTGAGCTTCTTGAATTTCTTGTCTAATATTTTCCATCTGATATGGAAAGCTCCTGACAATTCTTCTGTCTGATCCTCTTTCTGCTCTTTCAGTATATTTTTCTCTTACATTTTGTTTGAGGCTATCAGTCTTATCTTCTTATGAATCAATGTATCTTTTAAATTCATCTAATTATATCTTGATTTAGCACTCAAAAAATTTGATCCTTTTTTCCCCAGTGCTGGGAATTGTACCCAGGACCTGGGATGTGCTAGGTAATTGCTTTACCGCTAAGCTACACCTCCAGCCAGATTCTTTTTTATAGGTTTTAATATTATGCTGAGGTGCTCTATATTTTCTTTCAGTTGGCCTACTTTCAGGGTAGTTTAAATAATTGATTTAAACATACTTGTCTATTGATTCCAAATTTGTGATCATTTCTTGGCCTCATTTTTGACCAGTTTTTCTCAGATATTGCTTTGTAATCGTTTTCTCATCTCTCTTCTTTCAAGTCTGGTGAATTTGGACTGCCTGCTGCTTTTGTAGAGACTCTAGCTTATGTTTCCCTCTCTCATGAACTTTGAATTGTGTGCAAACAGGTGATTAATCCGTGAGTGGGTCACTTTAAGCATGCAAGGCCCTGGCTTCTGCTTTATTTTAGGACACATCTCTTTTGGGTTCTTCTTTCTCTTAGGACATGATTCTCATATCTAGAAAATGTGTTGCAGGGGGTCTAAAAGGAATGTCCAAGGTGTTTACCAAATTCTTTGCACTCTGGCTGGACACAAACTCCAGAATTATGTGACCTCTACTCTGATTTCAGCCTTTCAACCAATAGTCTCCATTGAGCCTCAAAATTCACAGGAAGCTCTAAAGCAACAAGATGATTTTAATCCTATTTAGAGTGAGAAGGTAAATAGGAAAAGATAGAGCACTCTTTTGGAACAAAACAAGATTAGAGAAATGTAAATATACAAATTCTTTTCTTTAGTCTCCTCTAACTATTTTTAGGAAACCAGTAAAGAAACACTGCTTAGAGAGAATTGAAGTCATAAAAGGAAAATAAAAAAAAAAAGCTATCAAGAAAGCATTGGGCTAATTAAAGTAATCTATGCAGGTTCAGGTGAAATGCAGGCAGGATACTAGATAATATTTTGGTTCAGAATTTGGTGTCCCATTGTTCAGTAGCTTTATCAAATTATACTTAAGAGGAAAATACAAAGGGATACCTAGGCCAATGCTATTTTGTAAGACATCCAAAATTAGACATTTGGGCTAGGGTTGTGGCTCATTGATAGAGTGGTTGCCTAGCATGTGTGAAGCACTGTGTTCGATGCTCAGCACCACCTCTAAATATATATAAATAAAATATATAAAGTATATAAGTAAAAATAAAACTCCTCAACAACTAAAACAAATTTAAGTTTACCTTTTGATGTCAATCTAAATCAAAGGAGATAAATCAGAGCTGGAATACATTTAGAAATTCTGCATTTTTGCTTTCTTTAAAAAAAACACACAGGATAATTATGGGATTTATTTAGTTATTAAATGATATTCTTGCTATAGACAAAACAGATAGCTAATAGCACCCTTAGTGTTCTACTGTAAAATGTCTATATAAAACATAGACAAATAATATGAAATTATATAATTTTTTATGAAGGGCAGCCATCATAAGGCAAAAGTTTGGGGTAATTGGAGGCTGTTGGAAATCTGTGAGGATATGTGCCCCCTACCCCACACCTCAGATGGTGTTTAGAGTGTGAATTGATAGTTCTCATTGGGAGAAGTCTTGGAGCCAGGAGTACACACCAAGGAGCAAGTTGGTGCCATCTGGATCATGTGCTCTTCCTTTGTGTGCAAAGGTGGCAGCAGCCATTCTGAGAAGACATGCGATGAATAGAAGCCTGGCTCCAGGCAGGAAACCGAGAGCATAAGGATAGTGGCTACCTGAAAGCCTGAAAGATGCAGAAGACCAAGACAGGGGTGGACCAGAAAACCCCAGCATTTTGGGGAGGTATGGAGGACCAGAGTACTGGTGTGGAATAGCCACCTTGAGTTCAACTGCCAGGTAAGGACTTTGCTCACGACCCAGTGCTCATCAAAGCAGGTGACAGTAGCAGATGACCTTGGCTTATCTCGTTGCTAAAGAAGGAAAATATTTTCTGTGCTAGTAAGAAATATTTTTGCTACAGGAGTTAAAAGAAGAAAGAGGAGGGAAGTTGTGTTAATTTGGGGCTGGGTTGGGGCTTGAACCTTGAAAAGTCAGTCTTCTGGGGAGTTGGAGCTTCTGAACTGAGGTGGGAAATGCTGAGGTGCCAACCAAGTACCAGGATGTGAGTAGGGCAAGAGGTGGCCAAGGGTGAGCCAGGGTCACCCCAGCCAACTTACCTTTGCTTTGATTTTCTCTCTCTCCAATGATGTTGGATCCAAGACACCAAGTGTCTTTACTCACCCAGTCTTTCTGTGCAGGCTTAATGGAGGCTGCTGAATTTTACCAGATCTCCTTCCTCTCTGGAACTGTCTTCAGGCACTGTCTCCTTACAGCAGGGTTCATTTCTCTTGTTTTTAAAGGACAGAGGATTGGAGGGGGAAAATGGAGAAGATTTCGCTTGTCTACTTGGCTGAGTGCATGTTGGAGTTATCTTGATCTGCATGCCTGTTTTTGTGACTCTTCATGTATGCAAGTTAGGAGTTGGGTATTACATTCTCATGGACAGGTATCATGCATGCAAACCTTTATTTGCCACAATTGTTGTATGATCCTGTTGGAAATCTGTGAGGATATGTTCCTCTTACCCCACGCTGAGGGTCTTGTTTGCATTGTGAATTTACGGATCTCCTTGGGAGAAAAATGTATTCGTCAGATCAGTTATGTTGTTAAGGAAACTTATTATTTCGCTGTGTGCTTTGCACAGACCTTTTGTTTCTCCCTTGACTTGTTGAGTTCCAAAAAGACAAATAATGTAGGCCGCACCCCATTTTAGTCTTTCTTTAGGGTTTCTATTTGGAAAAAAAAGTATGGTTTATAATTCTGAAGTCCAAATAATTATGTATTGTGATATCAAAGTATTCCTTAAACCATTCATCACTAATTCCTGTGTTTGAAACATTATCCATGTATTTTCTTTAGAGAGAGATCATTCATGAATACGTACTTTTCAGAAAGGGGAATGAGGAACCCAGAACAGATCCATACATGTAGACAGTATTGTGGTCATAACATATTAAAAATAAATGAGTTATCTCTATTTCAAATACTGTGGGATAGGCACAGTGCTCTTGCATCCTCTTGTTACAGAAGCTGTTATTGCAAGGGGTATGTGTACATGGAATATGTTTTCCCCTTCAGTGTGCGTTCCAACACATGTGGTTCCCTTCCCATGCTTCTAACTCTAAATACCTTGTCCTTGGGTTTTCTTTACGTGGTTTGTCTCTGTTATCCTAATACATAATTAATGATTGATTTTTTTAATAATTTTTGATTGTTGAGATACAAGGCATACTTTAAAAAATATTTTTTAACTGAAGACAGACACAATACATTTATTTATTTTTATGTGGTGCTGAGGATCAAACCCAGTACATTCCAGGCAAGCACTCTACCACTGAGCCACAACCCCAGCCCTAGCAATACTATTTTTGAAGAGGTTTCCAAATGGAAATATAACTTTAACTTAAATTACTAACATAACTGGTATCTTAAGAAAAGTCAGTGTTAATGTGCAATGCAGAGTTGTTTTACCTGTACATGAATAAATTCAGGGTATAAATAGCATTGGGGCAACTCCCAGTGCTTCCTCAGTTACAGAGCAGGCTTAGAATCCCCATTCTGGGTATTGCATCAGTTCTCTCTCTTTCTCTATATCAGTCAGGAAGAAACACCTGAGAGCTCTGTGTACATGTAAGTGATAGAAGGTGTAAGGTGCATGAAGCCCAGGTGGCCCATTTGCACACATGTTATTCTGGAGTTAGGGTCAAAATCTGGAATTTCAAGGGCAATGTTCAGATCCTATCACTGTGTGGATTACTCGTACTATCTAATTCAGACAAAAGTAACAGAAGTTGCTGACAAAATTATAATATGATATACAAATCTCTAAATGGCTCTAAAATAAAATTCTACCAGGAGACTCATGACTGGGTACAATCATACATGACCAAATACACACTTGATATTTCAAACACTCCTAAGAAAACACACACACACACACACACACACACACACACACACACTTATGTGTGTATATATGTATATATACACGCATACATATAAATATATAAGAATATTTAATGTGAATTGAATTCATAAAATATCTAGGAAGGTAGAAATTATCAATCAGGGTCAGGAAGCTCCTTCTGACCTGTGAGTCAGGACACTCAAATGTGAAAGAGGTATATTGCAGATCAGTCTAGTGGCTTTGGTCTTACTTCCCCTCTGCATGTGACACTGTGAGTTATTCATAGCTGCTCCCACTGTCCCACAGTGGTAGACATTCTCATGCTCTTCCTGAATGTTCTGGATGATTAGGTAACAACTGAGGCCAGAGCCTGAGCATGAGAAGGAATCAATACTCCCATCCCCCTTGGATACTACAATGCCACTACTGCCCACCAACATCACAAACAGGGTGCTCTTTCCTGGGCTTTGCTCATACCAGTCCACCTTGCTATTACTGTAGCAACTGCTCAGGGTGCAGGTGAGTTTGACTGTTTGTCCCAGGAAGGCAGGTGCAGAGGGTAGTTGGGTCAGTACAGGTTGGAAGAGGGAACCTGTAAACACAGACACATCACAGTGGAAGGCAGAGCCAGAGCGCAAGTGTTTGGGGATCTGAGCCAGTGAGATGGACTCAGGGTAGGTGTTTGCCTTGGGGCATAGAGGACTGTGCTTACCTGGGCAATAAGTGAGCATCATAATGAGAGTTGGAGTCCAGACCATGTTGGACACAGTTTTCTGAGTTCCAGAGTTCTGTGGGCTGCCACCATGATTTCTTATCCCTTCCCACTGGCCTCCAGTAAGGGCAACTCATGCAAGTGTGCCTCTATTCATTGCCTCCCACTGTCTGCACTTATTCTGAGCCTGGAATGATGCAAGACAAAGTCTTGAGATTGGTGATGGTTTTATTTGCCTAATGGACAGAACCTGAGAGGAAGTAGTTCCTGGAACTACACAGAAGAACACAGTTGCTCAGCCCACATCTGTGACAGAGGATTCACCTCCTCTGCCCACCCCTGTTCAAATATGGAGTCCTATGGGGACATTTCTTTGAACACATTTCATGGATCCCTTGAAAGTGTTAGATGATGTCCCCTGAAGATTATATATAAAAAATTAGTCTCCTCTTGGGTCCTGACTCTGCCTTTTTATATTTTCATTTAAATCCAACAATCCTTTGGAGATATTTGTATGTCAAGCTCTGAACTACAATATTACTACAGTATGTGGTAATTTGGGTATTTGATGTTTCTGAGTAAAATTCACAGGGATCAATAACCAAATATAAGAAGTGTCCCAAAACAGAAGAATGAAGCTACACATTCTCACTGCTTGGTGTCATTTTTGAAAACCAATTCAGATGATCATAATAAGCCTTTTGCTCATGTTCTACAATCACATCCATGTTCTAGGGTGGAAGTTGGCTGAGCTGGGTAAGACCCTTGGCCAAAGACACATCAGCATCCCAAGCCACAGACATTAAGACTATCCTAGTCAAATGAATGACATTTACCCATGAACACTGAGCTATTGGGATAAAGGGAAATTAGGGATACATATCTATAATTACACATTAATTTAAATTAGGAGGTATGTACCAACACAAAACTTATCTTTCATTTGCAGAAGTCAGAGAGTGACCTGTATCTCACTGGGCTAACCTCAGGGTGTTCATAGGGCTGGGCCACCTTTTGGAGTTTCTGAGAGAGAAATTACCTTCTTGCTTTTTACATCTTCTAAGAGTCACCCACATTCCTTGGCTGGTGGTCACCATCTCCAATGAATGAATGAATTAATAATGAATGAAGCCCTTCTCATATCAGACTAGTCTTTTCTAAGTTTCTGTTGCACTCAAGGACCCTTGTGATACCACTGTTTCTAGGAAAATTAAAGGATTATCTTCTGGCCTTAATGAGAATTCATTATAAACATTTATTCCACATGTAACTTAATATCACTTTATCATATATCCTAACATATTCATAGACTACAGGGTTTAGGGCATGCGTATCATTGGGGCCCATAACTCTGCTAACCACACTACTCTTGCCAGGGAAACTTAGCATATTCATTGAAAATATAATAAGACATCACCAAAAAGGTAAAAGCAGATGAAGTTTGGGGTTTTTATATGTTTTCATTGCACATATATGGTACTTCATAGCACATTGGTAATTTATAATTATATATAATTATGGGCATGGACCATCCCTGACAACCCACTGACAGCTCTGGGGTCTGGCCATAAGTGGAGGGATCCCTTTTATTGCCATAGCTGCTGACCCTCAAACCTAATACTTCCACCCTACTCAGAAGATACAGGAACCTCATTGGGTCAGCTGATGGGCAAGTGCCATCTGGATCCTCAGCCTTAAGGCAGTGCTCCATAGTCCCTCCCAGGTGTCACACACACAACCAGGCACACAGTTCTTGCACCTATCCCTCCTACATATGGTGTGCACACAAAAACATTGCACACATTTGTGCCCCTTCCTGGTATGACCCTGCCTTGTGCCCTGGGTTGCCCAGGTCTCTGCAGGCCATGGTTCCCTAACCATACCTTCCAAAGCTATTTCCTGGCAACAGGTCTGACTTTGCCATTTTGCCTTAGGCCCTATTGGCAGCAGAACAAGGACGTTTTGTGCTAACATCTGGAATTCCTGAAACCCACCTTCCCTAACTGCTGCCATGGCCAGTCGTGGGGGTAAAACTTTGTCCTTTGACCCTTCCACCAGCCCTCGGAGCAAGGACCTGCCAGGAGGGCCCTTCATTAAGCCTGGTCACAGCAGTTGCTGACTTCCCTACACTGGTTGGCCACTTTTGGCTGCCTGGGCCCATGGAACCACTTGCAAGTC